TAACTTTCCCTTGGTTGCATCCCAACTAAAGTCCAATATTAATAGGCATTTAAAATTTGCTGAAGTGCCTCTGATTTCAATTCTTTAGAAAAACCGTATCCTAAATGTTTATATTGTTGCAAATACGAACTGTTCATTTTGCCTAGTCTTCCACAAACCTGCCCGTTTTCACGCTTCTAAGCAAACATACTTGAGGGAATCCAACACAGTCTGGCGGTGCTCGGCGGCTTTTAGCCGGATTTGTTCCCGGATGAGATCCGCGTTCTCTCGCTCCGCCCTGGCGCGAGCCTGGGCTTCCGCCTCGATCCGCAGCATCTCGTTCTTATGTCGCAGTTCCATCTCGCGCTCCACCGTCGCTACGAAGGAAACCGAGAACTTAAACCAACGGAAAAATGGTCCTTTGGGATCGCAACGGCCTTCGGAATTTCACCGGCCGATACAGCTACTGGCGAAGGATTGTGAGACTCTGGGGGAGATGGGCATTGTAGTTCAACCTCCTTTCCCAAAGACCACTTAGGTAGAGCGTGGTTCTTTCGTGCTGGGGGCGGAGCAGGGGATTTGCTCCTCCAACCCAGAAATGAGAAGCTACAGAAAGCTGCCTCTGCATGCTGGCTGGGGAATTCTGGGAATTGAAGTCCACACCTCCTAAAGATGCCGAGGCTGATGTAGCAGATAACAGGGCGGGGAAACACCCATTTTTACCTCCGAATTTCCCTTTCTTAAAAATCTACCCACCATCCCCGTACTTCCCGGTTACTTTCTTCCAATTTATACTGTTCCTTGGGGAATTCTTCCCCCGTCCCTTTAATATTTTCTCCAGTCTCCCTTCTCCCTTTTGCACCTCAACTCTAAAGGTCTTTTGGGAGACCCGAAGCCCCCAAATCTGTCCCTTTGCCACCGTCCCCTACCTCTCCTCATGGCTTCCTGCTTTTGAACCGATTCTTCTTGCTTTCTTAAATTCTCTTCGTTAAGGAGTTGCTGAGGGAGAAGAACAGAATTCAGTCTGCGGACAACTGGGCTTAAAAGAACTTTTTCCTTGGTTTCTATTCCCCTGACAAACAGCAGCAGTATATTTTCTAATGTCCAACTACTGGATATATGTCCCCCCCCCACCTTGTTTACACTGCAGGCCATCACCTCCCTTTCCTTCCCTCCGAAACGTTTCTTAACTAACCCAGACTCAGGATCCGTGCAAGCAGCATTCCTATTTATTAAGTAATTTTTAACCCGCTGCCCCACCCCATGGATGTGCCGAGCAGTAGATGGTTCCCCCTCTGTGATCTCAAACTTCCCTCCCCACATTTAAGAAAGAAAGAGGACCCACCTGCTGTCGTAACTGGTCCTCGTAACGTTGCCGAGCTAATTTGTCCTGGTACTGGGCTCTCTTTAAGATAAAAACAGACAGAGGAGAAACTGAGTGACATTTAAGAGGAAAGCGAGACAAAGGTCTTGAGAGTTAAAATTCTTAGACAGGGAAGACTGCAACCCCACTCGAGCTGAATTTAACACTGAAACGATCTATTTCCCTGATTTATGTTATGGAGGATTGAACCTGGGATGGCTTCCCTGCAAAGCAGCAGCTATGCGGCTCGGTTGTGGGGAGACGACCATGGTTAATAGTAATGGATGTTAGGTCAATTCTTCCTTCCCCCAGTTGGACTTGCTAATAAAATTTAAGGTCACTGGGGGAAGCCGACCTGCTTGGGTAAACCTCTGCAGATGTAGAGGAGTGGCAGAAGCCGGGGCTGGAGTTAAAAGAGGGATCAGTCTAGAATCTTTTGGTAGCCACAAGCAAAAGCAGTCCAACCCCCCTTGAATTCCATTGATCCCTATCTAACTCTAACCAAGCGCTGACCATTGAGAATGTTCCTGTGCACAGGCATGAGTAGCGACAAATCAGTATAATTGGACCTTCACGTATGGACCTGATCTTTCATGCCTGGCAGGTTTCAAGCATTTGATGGGAAAAAAGGAGAGCTCGCGTCCAAGCATTGGGTTTTAGCCCGAAGCGTTTTAAAATTCAACTGGGGATTCCAAGGATGCTCTGACAAGTGACCGGACAAGTGAGGCGGTCCCTGTTAAGTCATTTTGCTCTACATAGACAGTAAGAGAGCTGCCAAGGGTTCAGGAATGGGGATCCTACTCATATGAGCCGAGGTGGCGCAGCAGTTAGAGTGCAGTACTGCAGGCCACTTTAGCTGACTGTGTTCAGCAGGTCAGCGGTTCAAATCTCACCGGCTCAAGGTTGACTCAGCCTTCCATCCTTCCGGGGTAGGTAAAATGAGGACCCAGATTGTTGGGGGCAGTGTAAATATATATATATTTACAGCTTTGGGTAGAGCACTTTATTCATCTGGTCATCTTAACTTTACGTGGTTCAGTAAATAGTAAAATAGCAAGTTACCGCTTGTTGTTGCCTTGTCTCTTCATTAAGGGTTTTTCTCCTCTCTTCTGCTTGTATCCGGACTTGTTCGTTCTTCAACTGTTCTACGGCAGCTTCGTATTCCTAGGGATAAGGAGAAAAATTAGTCAAGAAGAACCTGCGAGAAGATACGTTCATCTCCAGCTTTTTCATGCAAGAAATTCTGTTAAGTTCCCCAACTGAAAAGGAAAAAAAAAAAAAAAGCTGCCTCTCTAATCTAAAGGCACGGACTTGAATCATGGTGATCTTAAAAGTGCCTTAGGGAAAATTTGATCTAATAATAGCAACTTGCAACATCAAGATGAGAATTTTTACAAATAACGGAGTAAGAGAATGGGAAGGGACCTTGGAGGTCTTCTAGTCCAACCTTCTGATTGAGCAAGAAATCCTGTACCATTTCAGACAAATGTTTGTCCAATCTCTTCTTAAAAGCCTCCATGGAGCACCCACAACTTCTGGAGGCAAGCTGTTCCTCTGGTTAATTGTTCTCAATGTTAGGAAGTTTCCCCTTAGTTCCAGCTGCTTCTCTCCTTTATTAGTTTCCATCCATTCTTCTTCTCCTGTCTTCGGATGCTTTGGAGAACAGGTGGACCCCCACTTCTCTGTGGCAGCCCCTGAAATATTGGAACACTGCTATGATGTCTCCCCTAGTCCACCTTTTGACTAGACTAGCCATACCCAATTCTTGCAATCGTTCTTCATACGTTTTCGCTTCCAGGCTCCTAATCATCATTGCTGCTCTTCTCTGCACTCTTTGTAGAGTCTCATCATCAAATATGGGGAACGATCAAGCAAAACGGAGGGGGGAGAAGGGGAATCAACTGATTAATAGCACAGCCTGAACTGTGATGTTTTGCTCACCTTTAATTTAGACTGCTGCTCCAGCTGTAGTGTCTGCTCCTGTAGCTGAGCTAAGCCTAGGGCTTCTTTGGCGTGTCCTGAAAAGAAAATATTGCCCATCAGTTGTTTTCCATCATTCAAAAAAATAATTCTTACAAACCACTCCACCTAACAGTAATTTTGCCCATGATAATTTGTTGCAATTCTGGTTTCCCAATGGTTAAACTGGATGCAGGTAAGCTCTGCTGAAAATTAGACAACGTTGTCCGAACCAGAGATTCTGGCTTGCGCATTGTAGAAGAAAGAGAAATAATAAAACTGTTGTTTAAAAAAAAAAAAAACAACAACTCAAAAGGATGCTCTTTTCTGGTTTAAATTTCGGCTGCTCCTAAAAATACATTGAGTTTAAAAACTCTTTTGGCCAGCCCTTCCTGGCTTTGCTTCCAGGGGCAAAAGCCACACTAGAAGCTGCTGAAGAAAATCACATGGGAGCTAGGTCAAAGGTCACTGGTGCCTGGGTGGCTCAAAGCAAGGAGACAAGGAGTGTCTTGTGTGCAGATTCCGCAATGTGGTAAATAAGCTGATTCTCGTCCAAGCATTGAGATGGCTTCAACGCCACCAATGTCACTTCCCAAGAGGAGATCCTGGCAAGGGCTTCAGTTCAAATAGTCTTCCACTTACAGCAGTTCATTTAGTAACCGAAACAAAGGACTTAGGATGAGTTTTCACACGCACCGTGGTCACGTGATCAAAGTTCGGGCGCTAGGCTCATGTTTATGATGGTTGCTGTGTCCCAGGGTCACGCGATTTCCCTTTTGTGACCTTCTGACAAGCAAAGTCAATGGGGGAAGCCGGGTTCGCTTAACGACCGTCCTGCTAATTTAACCATTGCAGCGATTCGCTGAACAAACGTGGCAAGAAAAGTTGCAAAACGGGGCAAGGCTCGCTTAGCAAACGCCTCGCGCAGCAACCCAAATTTTGGCCTCTAATGTGATCGTAATCGAGGACTACCTTGTAGTCGCCGTTCAAAATTCAGAATCAGAGTAGAGCTGGAAGGGACCTTGGAGGTCTTCTAGTCCAGCCCCCGGCTCAACCAGCCACGAAGATCCACTGAGCTTTTCCTCGGGGCTAGACCCACCGAAAGCTTTCCTCGGGACTAGATCCAGGAGGGGGTGCCTAGCCAAGGGATCCCTGTTAATCTAGTCACGGGATCCAGAGGATCTCCTCCCAGCAGGGGATCCAGGCAAGAGATCCCGCCCTCCCCTCCGACTCACGGGAAGCGTCGAGCTCTCGGGCGGCCTTGGCAGCGCGCTCCAGGCCGGTGGGATCGAAGTTGCTCCATTTGTCCTTGGGGCGGCTCCCCTCGCCCGTCCCCTCTTTCGATCCCCCGCCGGGCGGAGGCGGCAGCGGAGGTAGCCCGGCTCCGGAGCCCGCGTCCCCGCCGCCGCCGCCGCGGTTCAGCCCGAAGAGCCACGACATGTTCCCTCACAGGCGCAGCCCAACCGGCAAGCTGCGAATCCCCCTCAACACACACGTGGACCCCGTGCCGCCGCTTGTGCGCAGGCGCCGCCCCGCCTCTTCCGTTCTCCGCCGCTGCTCATTGGCGGACAGCTCAGCGGAAGCCATAGAGTCGCGCTGTCAGAGAGGGCAGAGCGCGCAAATAACCTCCTTCTTCCCGGCCCCACCTCAGTCACGTGCGTGAAGAGGTTAGCGATTGCGAAACAAAAAAAAAAGAGGCGGGAACTCCGGGTCGATGGGGATAGAAAAAAAAAAAGAAAGAAAGAAAAAAAAAAAGCACGGCGAGGGACGGCGTGCGAAAAGGGCCAATCTTAGTCAAGCGCAGTCGTCCAGGAGGCGGCCCTTTCACCCTAGCAACGGGGATGTTGAGGCCGTCGCTAAGGGAGCCTGAGGCGATGCCTCAGGTAGGCCGCGCATGGCGGAGGCGGCCGCTTTGCGAGTGCGAGGCCGCGGAGCCTCCCTCAGGTAATTGGACTTTTGAAGGAAATGAGGGAGAGGACCACCGTGGAGGTTTCTGAGGGGATTCCCTGCTTGGGGGTTGTTGGCTGGGGACGATGGGAATTGCAGTCCCTCCGGTCCGGAAGGCCTTGAAGGCGGGGGAGTATGGACCCCTGACAGAGAGAGAGGTTGGATTCCCAGCCCCATTCCCTCCAGCCACCCACCCACCCACCTATCTCCGTGCCCATGCTGGCTGGGAATGATGGAGGTTGCAGTCCTAGCCCTAGAAAGAGAGGGTGTTATTTGAAAGCAATTGTTTTATTTTACTTATACATTTCTCAGCCACTTCCGTATAAATACTTGGGTCGTTCACAAAGTTGTTGTATACTGAGGAACTGGGCGCCTCAGATTTTCTTTATTTCTTTATTAAACCATTTTATAGGGCCGCCCTAACTCATTGACACGTGAGCATTTTTTTTGCACTCGGGGCCTTTCTCAGCCTTGTGAGAGGGAAAAAAAAGCTGTTCTCGGTCCTACTTTGGTTGCTACAAGCATAAAAATGCTTATTTTTTAAAAAAAGAGAAAAGAAAGGGCCCCAGCTATGTCTTTGGGGTGAGCTAAGATAAGGAAAAAAAAAAACATATCAGAATAGGATAATTCATAAAAATATATGGAGACGGTTGTTGTTTCTGGATTAAGTTTAACAGCCAACGTTAAAGTGATGTCATTTTGTTCTTTCTTTTTCTAGAGAGGCCTCAAAGGAGCTCCTTGGCAACAGCCAAAAAACCAACACAACCCACAACATTGACTTTCTAAACCTAGGGAGGCGCCCGGCTCTTCCTGGGGATGAGCAGAGAAAATCGTTGTTGTTTGAGGAAGAAAATGGTAAGAGTGCTGAGTGGACCCAGGTTCGAAGCCTCGTAGTTCCGGGGAGCATGCAGAGTGTCTCTCAGCCTCACGAAGACCACGGGGTCTGTAAGGTGGGGGAGTGTTTCAAAACAAGCAAGATGGTGTCCACCATTTTGCTTGTTTTGATCTTCTTTGGACTATACAGGTAGTCCTCAGCCTATGACCACAATTGAGCCCAAAATTTCTATTGCTAAGTGAAACATTTGTAAGTGAATTTTGCCCCATTTACGACCTTTCTTGCCACAGTTGTTAAGTGAATCACTGCAGCTGTTAAGTTACTAACACGCTTGTTTCTCCCACTGACTTTGCCGTAGGGATGCTGCAACGGTGGTGTGAAAAGTGGTCATATGTCCCTTTTTTCAGTGCCATTGTAACTTCGACCGGTCACTAACTGAATGGCTACAAGTCAAGGACTACCAGTATTCCTGAAAATCTTGAAGTCCTCAAAAAAAAACTGTTTCTCTCTCCCTCCTAACAGTCAGTGGTGACATTTTGGCTGCCTCCAGATCCACATTTATTTCTCAGTATTGGAAAAGAAGAGGGAATGATATAAACGCATAAGAAATCAGCACAGTGTCTCCTTAAAAGCGAGGCAACAAAGAATAATAATTGGCTGTCATTTTGATTGAAATTTGGTAGTCTTCATTGTGGGCCAGTTCATATTTTCGGTCTTCTAACTGCATGGATTTTTTTTCCCCTCTCTTCTCTCATCCCACTCTGTGACAGGGATCTCCACCATTGAAGACTTGGAAGAAAGCTTACGAAAACTGAAGGTTCAGGTGGACAGCTTAGCCTCCAGTCTCACTGTCCATCCAGATCGAGATGACACTTCTGCTCTTGAACATGTGGCTGACCCAGGTCCCTTAAGTTCCAAGTGGCGTCCATCAGGGCCACCCACTGAGACTGAATGCTTACTGAAACCAAAGCATCTTGCGAGACCATTAGGGAATCACTTGAATTTGATGGGTTGGGCTATTCCAACCTTAAATTCATCCCTACCGAATGAAAATTTAGGATTATTTGGCACTGCGACTGTGAGTCAGAACTCTCTCCTCTTGGGAGACCTTGCTGTCCCTTTGAAACTTGGGGCCCCTCACGTGATTGGTGTCAAGTCTTTGCTGCCCCCCACGATTCCAGTCCGAGCTTGCTTGCCAGAAAGATCCTCTTTCACGTTCCGCAGAGGCCGTTCACTTAGTCATTCTGAGGTTACCCGCTCCTGCTCCTTCTCTCCGGATGCCAAACGCCCGCGCTGGCTCCGATCACACTCTCAGTCTCCGAGGCCTGTCTGGAGACCCACCTCGGCTAAGGCTAATGCCTGTGCTCAGCCTCCGCCTCAGCTGGGGAAGGCCAGGGGAGTCAGGAAGAAAAGCATATCAAGCAGACCATCACGGTTGAGGTTCTTCAGGCCAGGAACATTAGCATCGAAATCCTGGACTTCCACTAAGGCAGTTGGACAGAGGACACCGAGGGAGTCTTGGAGTCCTTACAGTTTGGCTTCTCCGGTCATCTCCTCACCCACGGCAGAGGAGATCAACAAACGGTAAGAAGTGGCCTCTAGGCCTCAGAATTGAGAACTAGTGAGGAACATCTGGCTTCATAGTATATGGTGGCTTCGTTACCATACCCTGAAGGAGCAGTTTCCTGGGATGGAGTGATAATAAAAGTTGAGCCTCAGCTGAGCTCAAGAGATTATCTGAGAAAGCAACCAACTTTGAGGAGCTCAAGAGAGGGAATAAGCCTGGGATGAATGTTTCTTACTATTTAACGCCCCCAATTTTGTTTTGTGGGTTTTGGATTAGAGTTTGTTTGTTTGTTTAATTTACTGACCTCCCATTTTACCACAAGATAACTCTGGGTAGATTACAATATTTTAGCATTTTAGTGCCAGCTGCCTGTGGTTGTAAGAGCCGAGGTGGCGCAGCAGTTAGAGTGCAGTACTGCAGGCCACTTTAGCTGACTGTGTTCAGCAGGTCAGCGGTTCAAATCTCACCGGCTCAAGGTTGACTCAGCCTTCCATCCTTCCGGGGTAGATAAAATGAGGACCCAGATTGTTGGGGGCAATGTAAATATATATATATATATATATATTCATTGCTTACTGGTGTACACCGCTTAGAGAGTGCTTGCGCTTAAAGCGGTATATAAGTCTCATAAATAAATAAATAAATTGATTTAATGTTTCTCGCTGTTTTTATGTTTCCTTTTAGCTTTGTATACCATCCAGAGTCTGCTGGAATTGGGCGGCTAATACTTTTTAAATAAGTAATAACACGTGAGCGCAGTAGTGTGTTGAAACCTCAGTTCCCAGACTGTTTTAACAACAAAGACTGGAATTGCTTGTCCTAGGAAATACTTAATTAGGCCAGAAAATCTTTTACTAGATTGTCTCCTGCCTGACGGTAGTTTCTCATGCGATAGTCCTTCGCAGCCCACCAGCAACAAAATAAAGTTGTGCGTAGAGCAGCGTTTCGTAGAGAGCAGTTGACCTGGAGAAACTGCGAGACATTTAGCTCTGCTTTTTTTATTCGGGGTTCAGATTCCTGCAGACGCTTTCTGAAAGCACGATGGGGAGAGACCTGATTGAAATGTCTCCGTACCAGAAAGAGCTGGCTCGTCTCCGACTCCAGCGCCTGCGTGTGGAAGAGGCCTGGCTGTTGGAAGTAAAGAGACAGCAGGAATTGGAACGAACCCGTGGCCCCAGACCCAAGTGGTGAGGACACGCTCTCCAAGGCTTGGGCTGGAGCTGTTGATTCTTTGGATTGGGGGCTGAGAGCAAATTCGGCAGGGCCATGTGGAAATCTAGTGAGATTTGCTGGATTCATGAGAGATATTTTGGACATATGGATTCTGTGGGCAATATTCATTTGTAAGCAGAGTGTCAGCAAGACCCCACTGTGGCCTGAATTAAGCCTCTTTCTCCTTCCTTCCTTGTGGTTTTAGGTACGAAATAAGGGACTCTCAATTCCACTACGAAGCCCACAAGAACAACGAACTTCTGAGAAGCAGCCCAGAGATACAGTCTGTCTGTGGTTACAGGGAGGCCCTGTCAAGAGCATCGAATGAGTTCCAGCAGCAACAGAAGCCCACTTCCACCTCCCTCAAGGCCTACTGGTAAAGCGCCAAAGGGCATCAAAGGAGATAGAAGAAAGGCAGGTCAGGATAAACAGGGCCTTGTTCTGTTCCCAGTGAATGATAGTGGCTTGTTTGGAGGGATGGCGGTGTGATTCCAAGTGTCCAGCCCAGCCATTTTTGTGCCTTGTTCTTGATCACTCAGAGGTGATTTAAACCTTGAGAAGTGCCACAGGACAGGGTCACTTTAGTGGAATGAAATACAATGAGCAAAGATTCTTTGCTAGAGAAAAAGGTGACCAGATGCCCTGGTTTACTGGGGAGAACTACATAAAACATCTGACATCTCTGTGTCAAAGGCATTGTGGGCTATTTTCTGGCTTGGTGTGTGCAGATTTGATGTGTGTGTGCGTGCCTTTTCCAAGACATGATTTGATTATTATTGCCTGCAGTCTCAAACTAGTTCAGCAAAGAACATTCACTTTGGATTTTCTCTCATTTGTTTTAACTTTTTGATTAGGAAGGTACTCTGAATAAAAAAAAAACTTGATTACCGATACTTCTTTGGCTCAAAAAAAAAAAAAGATAAATATTACACTAGAAGAAAAAAGCATGTACATTTTCCATCTTTTATAGAATGCTTTTATGCCTGGGTGCTTTCCTATTTCAATGTAGTGGTAGTTTTTAACATTTTTTGAGGTTTATTTAATTCTTAGATTTGCAAAGAGAAGATATTTAACCTGTTACTGACATGCCAGAGGGGTTCTAGATGTATGTATTTCTTTATTTATTTTTATGGCTGGCCCACAAGCATTTTCGTATCGTCCTTGGTGAGTAACTGCAGAAACCTTTTGACATAGAATGAATCTAGCCGGGCAACCAAAGCCATCTCTTTACTAGCAAAAATTATTCTGTGACAAATTATCTTCATTGATTAATCAATGCCCATCCCCTGAATTTGTGAGTGAAACGGCAGATCTGAAAAAACAAAGGCAGCCTGCATTAACAGCGAAGATTCCTTTAAAATAGCTATTCAGACCAGCTTTCCCAAACTTCTTTGCACATTTATGGAATCTTTTATCCCATCAATCCTTTATACCTTAATAGGATAGCAGTCTTGAGTACATACGTTCCAAAACATTTGCATTTTATCCAGTTTCATACTTAACAATTTGCCGGTTGACAAGAAAATTCACACTGGCCAAGGATGGATATCTTTCTCTGCCAATCAATTTTGTTGGTAGACGCTCTCCTATTTGTCTGATTTTGCTAGCTCACTCAGTGGAATGATACTTCTTTTTATTATTTTCAAACTTGGAGATTTTTAACTGGTCTTCTGCGTTCACTGTACAGACGTCATTACACTGGCAATTTCCTAGCAAGCTAATTAAAACTACAGACTTGATCAGCCAATTAACAAATCTCTTCCCTTCCTTTTTAAACTTCTGCTTCTCTGCCCCCCCCCCCACTCCCACTGCATGGCTGTTTATATACTTCTGCTGGCTTGATCTTTCCTGGCATGACACAGGATCTGAGTGCCCTCAAGTACCCTGTAGGAAATTAAATCTCTCTTTCTTTCCCCAGTTTCTGCTCTCCAAAAATCCCCGTGTCGACAGATCACAAGGTTCCCGAGTCTCATACCTTGAAAAATGAACCGTGAATGCCACGGCATTGCCTTTGGTGGGACCGCATCCAAAAGAAAAAAAAAAATATTCCAAATTACTTGGCTCTTTGTTTTCTCTTTTAATTCAGCTTATTTCAAAGGATACATAACAATGTTTCTGAAGTAAGCTGGGGAGACAATGGCTACTGTATTAGTAAAACCGTACATGAAAGAATTACAGAGAATATGAAATGGTTTCTGACTCGCAAGACGATTATGACCATCGCACACATTCTGAAGCAGGAATGAAGCCACCGTAAGCTTTTGAGTTTAAAACAAATAGCAACGAGCCACAGTGTTACTTGCATTATTACAATTGTGTCTTTTTTTAAAAAACAAACAAACAAAACAAAACAAAACACTGCTTTTCTGTTACCTACTTCGGGCCGAGAAACTTCAGTTAACTGGGCTAATTCAGTTCTCATGCAGGTGGAGGCTCACATGATGAAACCGTAAAACAAAACATGCATGGAAAAACAAGCTTTTCGGGATTCTAGCTGGACTTCATCTTGAGGGGCTAGTTGTCTAAGATGCAGGGATTAGTGGCAGAGACTTTTGCTTGCGTATCTTAGGTCCACCATCTCCAGTTGGGTGGTCCCCAAATCTATTGGGGTCCGCCTCCCAGGATGGTCATGATAATACTGTTATTTTTCAAACAAGTTTGTTTGCTGTGTAACGAGAAGCCCCAAGCTCCAATTGGCTGGCAGTGCCGTATAAGCTGGTGAGATGATCTCAAAGTCCAATTGTCAACTTGCAAACTACTTTTTTCCCAAAGGGCCAACACAGCTTGGGAACAACGTCTCCGGTGCCCAACACTTTTTGTGAAAAAGTGCTTCAGGTTGTGTCTTCGGAACAGAACATCTGATTTTGCTGGATGATCTCAGGTTGGAGGCAGCCCAGCCATTTCTCTCACATTTCCATAAAAGTACAGTACGTCTTCTGCATCGGTCACAGTTCAGTTCAGGCAGTCCCAGATGGATCCAGCCACGTGTAATGATCACTGCATTTGCACAATACACGCTACCTTGTTCCCAAAGTGACCCCTCTGAGCGTCTTAGCTATCCTTTGATATCTATCTTTATCTCTGTTTACGAGGTAACTGTCTCTGCTACTCCCTAGTATCTATGGCGGGGTGCTCCATTTTATTTCCTTAAATTATTGCATGCCCCCCAAACAAATGTAATTTCTGATGCCACCCAAAGTAGAACCGGGATTAAGCACGTTCATTGGCCAGCTAGCTTACGGTTCAGTAACCGTATCTCTCAATTTTATTCGGTCATGTATAACTATATCCTGCCATTGCCAAATCCGTTATTCTGATCCACCTATTGGATCCTGGCCCACTATTCAAAAGGGTTAATGTGACACTCAGCCCGAAGAAGAATTTTGCATCCTTTAACTGTTTCCTTCCAAGAACAGAGCAAAGGTGCATAAATAAAACGGGAAATACCGGTGGCCAGGGGTTTTGCTCTCAGTCTCAAGGAAGTCTTTGGAATTCTATTATACGTGATTAATTCAGATGGCAACAGTGTTCAACAACTAAGATTTTGGGCCACTACCAAGGAATCATTTGGGATCTGCTTTGTGCTTCTAATTACTTCCCCCCCCCCCCATCAAATGCAATAGCTTTTGAAGCAGAAGGACGTTCTTAGAATTCAGAATGCGGATTAGAAGGTGAAAGTTCTCACTTGCATGTGAGAAAGGAACCAAGGTTCTTCCTCCCTCCCATTTAATACAAAACACAAATAAATAAGAATGCAAAGGAAGCGGGAGAGGGTTCCCAGTCTTTAGCTGGAATTCCAAGGAAAGGAAACAAAACCCGGTGAGCAAGGACTCCTTTTTCTAGCAAGATCCAATATCCCCGTGAAGCTGTTTTGTTCCTAACTGAGCCAGATTGGGGCGTTCGTAGGCCAGTCAGTTGCAAAAGAGAACGGGGGTTAGCCGGAGGTTGAAAAGCCTTGGGACCGTGATCTTCCTCATCCTGGTGTCTTGATACCTTTGTCCCAGGCCATCCTCGCCTTCTGACCCACAAAAAGTTCGTTCGCAAACTCTCACGCTCTCTGCCGGTGCCTGTAGCGACCTGCGGCTGAAGCTGCAAAACGGAAAGAACCAAAGAATCAATCTTCGTCAGATGGACGAATCAGGTTGCCTTGCAAGTCTCTTATTTGCAGAATACGCTGAAGCAGGAGAAAAGTTTTAAAAGATGACAAGTAGCTACATAAAGTGAGAAGAAACTCAGGAAATAGCTTCTGCAGAATTCCCTATGCTGTGTACCCGTTCGGATTAAACTTCTATTTCACAGGGAAGTTTTCAGGGACGGCCACCAGGGGGAGCGCGTCCCTTACAAATCCCTTATCTGAATTCCTTATCTGCTCCATCAGTGACACTGGGCTACACTGAATTTCCTGTGGGATTTTTTTTTTTTTAAAAAAAAAAACTTGTGCCATGTTCTTCCTGATTAAAACTGGAAATGCTTGGCTACCTGCCACGCACAACTGGAGACTTGGAAAGAGAAGTCATAAATGTCTTAGGGGAAAAAAACCCCCTAAATTTCTCAGGTGACCTCGTTCGGGCACCTTGCACCTTGCAAAAATATTGTCCTGCCCTCCAAACCGTTGTCTTTTCTTCCTCTCCACTGTATTCGGTTAGAATATCTCTTAAGAAATTTTCATTCAGTGAGGATTCAAATTGTACAAGCAGCTGTGCATTTAAAAAAAAAAAAACAGCGAGGACCCTTCCACTCTCATGTTTTAGCCTACTTTGTTTACCCTCCCTTCATCCTAGAGATACCTACTGAGATAGCAAGACCAATCAGTAGGCAACAGAAAGCCCTAAATTATTTCCTTTCCTGCTCGCCTCTTACCAGGCTGCCGATGGATCACTCGACACAGTTTTTTCCCAGGCTGGGTTTTGTACACAGGCTTCACACACACTTTGTTGGTGCTGCCGGGGATCAGATCTGACAGCAAAACGCTGTGGATCTGTGGTGAGACGCTGAGGAGGGTCGAAGGGCCGGCTTGCCGCCGACACAGAACGCGGTAGCCCAACACGTCTCCTTCTGCTGGATCCCAGGAGGCCTTTACGGAGCTGGGGCTCAGATCTTTAAAGTGGAGGTGCTTTATTTTGGAGTATTCTGTCCATTGGAGGAAAGAAGAAAGAAGGATGAGGATGACTGCGTGGGCTTTCTCCAGCGATGGAGGCAGAAACGGGGGGGGGGGGAGGGAGGGAATCAGAATTTGTGCTGGGATCAGCCAAGTAGGCAACCCAGGAGACCATCGGGCGAGGGATGTTGGCATCCTAGCCAAAGGGTGACAATCCATCAGCCTTATTCTGCAGCTGTTCTTCCCTCCCTTCCTCCGTCCTTCCTTTCTCCTTTCCTACTCACCTTCCCGTGTGCAGGCTTTAGCGGAGAGAGCCTTCTCCTTGCCAGATTTGTAAATGGCAGACACTGTCACTAGGTAGCTGGTGTTGGCCAGAAGGTTTTCCAGGACGGTGCTATTGAGCCTGCCGTCCACCTCTTGCAGCTGGACTAAATTGTCATTCAAGGGACCATACATGACTTGATAGGCAGCCACGCTCTCTAGGATGGGAGACCAGCTGACCCGGATGCTGTGGGGTTTGGACTCTGAGATAAGAATCTGGGCTGGGCTGACTACCTCTGCGGAGAGAAGCAACGCAATAAGGAAGAGAGCCTGACCGGATCGAAGTTTCCCGTATTTTTTTTTTTATACACAATTTTTACTGCAGAAATGTTTAAGGAGAGAAAAGCAGCACAAATGTGAGGAAAGAAACAAAGGAAAGAAGACCGAAGAATGAAGAACTAAGAGAGAAAAATGAGGACATGGCCTTCTGATCTTTTTGACAGCAGTTATAAATGTGCAAGTAGCCTTTGACATACGACCGCAGTTGACCCCAAAATTTCTCTTGCTAAGCGAGACGCTTGTTAAGTGACATTTGTCCCATTTTATGACCTTTCATGCCACAGCTGTTAAGTGAATCGCTGCACTTGTTAAGTTATTGGCACGCTTGTTAAGTGAACCCGTCTTCCCCATTGACCTTGCTTGTCAGATGTATATTCTTAAAAATTAACCCCCAATGGGGTCCTTTTTACCTTCCAGCGTGGTGACCCTGGTGGTTTGTGGTGGGATGTATTTCTCGTTGGATTCTGGGATGAGAGCAACCTCATAGGTGGTTTCTGAGTCTAGCTGTGTCACCACAATGCTGGTGTGGTCACCAGGGAGTTGTCTGGTCACCTTCCGCCGGGGTTGGCCACTCGGGGCATACTCCAAAATGTAGTAGCCGGTGTCCCGTGTCAGGAGCTGGGGCCACGTGAGGCGGAAGCTGCTTGAGGAGATATCTGTGGCTCTCAGGCACTTGGCTTGGATGGCAACTGGAAGGGAAGAGAAGAAAGATTTGGTTGTCTACCTGCCACAGGGTTAGCTTAGATTAGGGGGGTCCCCAACCTTGGCAACTTTAAGACTGGTGGACTTCAACTGCCAGAATTCCCCAGTCAGCGTGGGACATTCTGGGAGTTGAAGTCCACCAGTCTTAAAATGGCCAAGGTTGGGAGATCCCGAAGCTTAGATGGATGTCGCTTTAGTTCCTCTCTTATTAGAAGTTACTAAATCTAGACAGCATACTAAAAAGCAGAGACATCACCCTGCCCACAAAAGTGCGTATAGTCCAGGCCATGGTTTTCCCAGTTGCAATGCACGGCTGTGAAAGTTGGACCATAAGAAAGGCTGAGCGCCAAAGAATGGAGGCCTTTGAACTTTGGGGCTGGAGAAGACTCCTGCGAGTCCCTTGGACTGCAAGGCGTTCAGACCGGTCAGTCCTAGAAGAGATCAACCCCGACTGCTCTTTAGAAGGCCAGATTCTGAAGTGGAAACTCAAGTACTTTGGCCACCTAATGAGAAGGAAGGACTCACTGGAGAAGGGCCTAATGCTGGGAAAGATTGAGGGCAAGAGAAGAATGGGACGACAGAGAATGAGGTGGCTGGATGGAGTCCCTGAAGCAGTAGGTGTGAACTTCAATGGACTCCAGAAGATGGTAGAGGACAGGAAGACCTGGAGGAACGTTGTCCATGAGGTCGCGATGGGTCAGACATGACTTCGCAATTAACAACAACAACAACAACAAAACTTAGTTTTAACGCGAGTTCTTTTTTTAATCTGGGGCTTAGTTATATGAAGTCAGGCCCTTTGGTGGAGAGGTGATTGAAGGTGCAAACCCATAATTATATAATGTTTTTTGGTAGACCAAATCTAAGAGTTTATAATGCTTATGCTAGATCACATATAATAAGTTTTCATACACGCTAGCCTGAATTAGATCTACCGTGCCTTGTGTACAAGTCTGTGGTGTAGAAGATAATGCAAAAAAGTGGGTAGGATTATGTTACCTGTATGATTTTATATTCAGGTCTAGTGGGTAATGTTGGTTCCCCCCCTGCAATATTTTTTAACCTCCCTTTCTGCTGCTTATCCACTCTTGGGTGTCTACTCGTGCTTCCTTCTGTTTGGCGCTTCTGAGATCTGAGGGAGCTGTACCTTCTAGAGAGAGCCTGTCTCTTGTGTGCAAACCAACGGAGCTAACTCCAGTTTCCACCCTTTGGGAACTTGGTGTAAAAAAAAGGAACAAATGGGGAAGGGCTGGAGTGTAATTTGCATTATATGAAATGTGGAAAGATGCTTTTAGAAAGCAGGTGTGTATCTCCGATCTCGCCAGCAGATGGCAGCAAAGACAGCAAACTGCAAGGATGGGAGATTTTTCTAAGTTCGCCCTGAGCCCAAAAAATATAAGCATTAAACAAAATGCTAGAGAGTCTTACCATCATCTACTGGATTGAAATGTCTCTAAGTCTCAAATTAGATCTCCAAGGAGACACTTACACTGCGTTAAATGTGTAAGTCCCATATTACATATGTAGATTTATATAATGCAGGAAGGAAGGAAGGAAGGAAGGAAGGAAGGAAGGAAGGAAGGAAGGAAGGAAGGAAGGATAAACAAAAGTATCTTGTGGAACTTGAAAGAGCTTATTATTGGTTTACTATCACATGTGCCTTTCTGGATTGCTATGCAGTGATCCTCTGGACTGACAGAAACACCACAAAATTAATGGTTTTTCATCCACAGAAGGAAAGAAAAACGCTCTCTTGCCAATGAACTGTTGCTTTTGGTTATCTTTGGCAGCTAACTCCAGCAAGTTAGTGCCAATGAGCTGTGGCCACTGAAGTCCAAACCACAAAGCCAGTTTGGTGAGCTGGGAGGCCTGTGCCTTGAATACAAAATTACAGCCTCGGGTTTCATGAATGTGAGTAACCTGTATTTGCTTTGGATGAAGCTTCGCCTAGCCCAGAATATTCTAACCGCATCCCGCAGGCCCTGGATTTGTAGGTTTCCCACCCAAACAAGCCGCCTGGGCTCATGTCTATTCAGGTCTGGCTGCTGAATGCAGGTCTGCACAGTTTAAAGTTTCAAAATGCCAGGTGTGGCTCCCATTTCCGAGAAACAGACTGCAGTGGGTCACAGCTCAGTAGGTGTAGCCTAATTCGGTGTGCGGGATGAACTCCGGTGGGAGATGCTACGAAAGACCAGGAGTGACTTTTAGAGATGCCAAACCTATCAACAGCATTGCCACTAAGCTTTAGCCTAAATGTGCAAAGCATCTCTTTGGAGACAAGCTGCATGTGGCTCATAGAAGAATAAGCCCCACCCCGCCCCACCCCTCTTCCTCTGGAGAGCTGGTTATGGTCCCTCCGCACTAGTGCTACTAGCCTACCCAATGAGAGGCTGCATTCCAAGGGGGATGGGCAGGCAGCTATGTCTCTTCAGTTCCTCAAAAAGCTGCCCGCACGCCATTGGCAGATCTGAGGAATTCAAGAGAAAGACAGGCCCCTCTGAGAAACAATGCCCTTCTGTGCTCCCACAAAGGGAGCCTTTGATAAGATCTCATATGATGTGATACTACAGTGCCATTTCTGGGCCTCTTCCCAAGCTGCCAAGTCTTCCAGCCCTGGAGCCCGCATTCCAGTCTTCCATCGCTTTGTGTCCTTCAAAATGTACACACGGGAACTAGCCGGAGTTGGGAAAACCACAGCCCGGGGACAGAAAAGGAGAGTGCTTGGCTGTGTCAGATCCAAGTTGGCTGAGGGTTGGGCAGGAACCTCCCTGAGGGCTTCTTCCCCGATGCGATGAGAACTATAGTTGTGGGTTGTTGTTTTTAAAGATGGCTGTATCAACTACACAGAGAAAGGGTCTGTTCATGCCTCTTCACTGGGCTGATTGCAGTCCACCTGAATACGAGACACTGACCAAAGGGATATTGGATGGCCCTGAGGTGGACAGAAGCTTTTGACGCGTGGAACAGCCAAGTGAAAGTCTAGCTTAATGAAAAGAAAGACTAGAGATGGCATAATAGTGGCGTTCCAACATCTAAGGGGCTGCTACAAAGAAGGAGGGGTCAACCTAGTCTCCAAAGCACCAGAAGAAGGCAGGACAAGAAGCAATGGATGGAAACTAACCCAGGAGAGAAACGAGCTAGAACGGAGGAGAAATTTCCTGACGGTGAAAACAATAAACTAATGGAACGGCTTGCCTTCAGAACAGTGGTTCTCAACCTTTTTAATGCCGTGACCCCCCAACCAGTTGTAAGTCGAGGACTACTTCACCGGTTGTAAGTCGAGGACTACTCAACTGGTGCAGCAACGTTTGCAGAAGGGGACTTTTGGCGGGCTCAGCAGGGCAGAGACAGCCTGGACAATTCCTATTGGCTTTTGAAAGCCAGTAGAATTAGACTCTATTCAAGAGAGTCTATTCTATTGGCTTTCAAAAGCCAATAGAATAAAAGGGAGTAGCACAGCCAAGGAAAAGGGGGGGGGAAATGGCGGACTGCGTTGTTTGGTGACCCCCGTGAAATGGTCGTTCGACCCCAAATGGGGTCCTGACCCGCAGGTTGAGAACCACTGCTTCAGAAATTGTGGGTGCTCCATCACGGGAGGTTTTCAAGAAGAGCCTGGACAGCCATTGGTCCAGAATGATACCCCCAAGGCCCCTTCTAAGTCTGTCCTTCTATAAACCATCGGTTTTAATGATGGCCGATGCAACCAGTAATAATAACATTCCGCACTCCCGTTTAAACTTCCCTCGGTCAGCAGGAGACGACATTCCCTCCCAATACCTGCAATGGAGTCCTGCAGCTCCTTGGTGATGAGGGCTAAGTCATCCACGTCGACAAAGTGGAGATGCTTCTCCGGGGGAGGGCTGGCAGCAGCCGAGAGCTCCACGTAGTTCCCCCTGCCCGTGCTGACAATGAAGACGGCGACCCCCAGGTCTTTCAGAAGCTGCATCGGCTGGGCCACGTCGTCCTTGGAGAAGCCATCGGTCACCCACACCAGCACTTTGGGGACGTCAGGACGGGCCCCCGCTTCCGCGGTGAAGAGCTTCTCCTTGGCAAAGGTGATGCTTTTGCCGGTATTGGTGTCCCCCATCACCTGCTGGATGTTGCGGATAGCCTGCTGGATGGCCTGGGTGGAGAAATGCCGGTCAAAGGGGAACTCCAGGATGGGCGTGGTGCTGATGTGGACAATGCCAGTCTGGACATTGTCAGGGCCAAAGGTAAACGGGAGAAGCAGTTCAGCAAGGAACTCTTTGATCCTGGAGAATTCGTAGTAGGAGACGCTGCCGGAGCTGTCCAACAGGAAAAGCAGGTCCCCCTCTAGGTCAGGAAGGGTGGGTTGAAGACCTGGAAAACACACTGGAAAAGGATCCGGGAGTGTCAGGAGGGAAGAGGCCTTCGTAAGTTCAAGACATAAGTCAGAATCAGCTGGGGACCCTAAAATCGCTCATTTCTACAGGGTAAACCCCCTCTAAGATAACCCAAAACCGGGCGTTTTACCACCGGTAAACGCTTTACTTCCCGGTGTCTTCCTAGTGACTTTTGCCAGGCTCTGAGATTTTAATTCCATTTTTTTGTTTCGTTTCACTTTCCAGTCTGGCCTACAACCTGAGTTGTTCCTTTGGAGCAGTGATTCTCAACCTTTTTAATGCCGCGACCCCCCCAACCGGTCGTAAGTCGAGGACTACTCCACCGGTCGTAAGTCGAGGACTACTCAACCGGTGCAGCCCCGTTTGCAGAATGGGACTTTTAGTGGGCTCAGCAGGGCAGAGACAGCCTGGACCATTCCTACTGGCTTTGGAAAGCCAATAGAATTAGACTCTATTCAAGAGAGTCTCTTCTATTGGCTTTCCAAAGCCAATAGAAGAAAAGGGAGTAGCACAGCTAAGGAAAAGGGGGGGAGAAATGGCGGACTGCGTTGTTTGGTGACCCCCGTGAAATGGTCGTTCGACCCCAAATGGGGTCCCGACCCACAGGTTGAGAACCGCTGCTTTGGAGTCTTCCCATCCATGTACTGCATTCTCTGCTTTTCCTTTCCCCCCTTGGTCCCCTTTCCCTTCTCTGCCAGGTCTTTTTTTTTGTTTGTTCTAAAACTTGCCACTGGCAGAGTCTTCTTGTGGCAGTTAGTGCGTCAGCTACTCTGGGGGCGCTCGGGATGCTGAAACAAACAAGCCAGTTAATCCGTTTGCTTCCGTCGATGCAGACCCGGATCTCTGGCAGCCCCAAATGGCAAAATTCATCCCAGATGGGATGGGATCTCCCTTTTGGCCAGCTGGGAGTTGGCCCTCTTACACTCTGGGCTCCCAAAAGGCTAGTCTGGGTTTTGGAGAGCAGAGAAACCCCGCTTGGTTTGGACTCCGAATGCTTCAGATCCATGCGGGGTTTACAAATGGCCACCACAAGCAGAATGGAAACCTTCCCAGTCGCACATGATGGAAATCAGATGTTCCACTGCTCCAGCAGCCTTTTCCCTCCTCCTCTCAGCTAGGCTGCCCAGGCCAAATTTTGCCAGTTATATTCACCTTTCCCCCCTGACGGCACAGCCTTGGCCCTCCGGTAAGAAATTCAGGATGGCTCTGCCACCCTTGAGGGCAATCCTTAAATCTCCCCAGAGAGATTTTCTTCTTCCTATTCCACATTAAAAAACAGTTTCCTCCAGAGTGGATTTCTAACAAAGGGAGAGATTTGGGCTGCTATTGAACAAAAGGAGAGGGTGCTGAATGTGCTTTCCCCAGAAGCTGGCCGAATTGACAAGGCGATGCCCTTTTATTTTGTCTGAAAGCTCCTTCACGCATGGATTTACACTCCTCGGCGACAAAAAGGGCCACCCCCATAAACAAAGTCTATTTTTCCCGACGGAACCAGGACAAAGAGCTTGACGGATTCCTCACAGAGACTTAAGTCAGGGTCCCTAAATAAATCCTATCATCTCAGCATCCAAACTGGACTAGCTCCCCTCGGCTGTAGTTGAACACTCAAGTCAGTGTACCATCGGCCGGTCAAAACAGAGAAAAAGACGTTCCTCCTGTGCCTTTATTTGGGACCGATTGGCTGCTCCCATCTGTATCTCCCACAGAAACACCGCAGTGGTTCTTTAAAAGCAACCTCTCTCAAGGGTCACGTAAGCCCAGGGGGCCTCCAGATGACTGCAGTGCTCATCGTCCCTGGCAAACGCTTGTAGCTGGGGCTGATGGGAGGTGGAATCCAGACCCGTCAAAGCCCACCACCGCCGGTCCTTGCACCAGAGTCAAGTTTGCCAACAAACTTTCCGGTATGTTTTCACACCCTGCCGGAGGCAAGAATTGTGCTAGGTGGGGCTGAGAACATCATCCATCAGGAAGTGCTAGCCTGATGTGGTTTTTGGATCCCTTCTTGAATTGGAGGCAAGGCAGGTAGAAGAGAGGGGAGGGAGATAGAGAGAGAGAAAGAGAGAGAGAGAGAGAGAGAGAGAGAGAGAGAGAGAGAGAGAAATCCCTCACTCCCCCCCAATATATCTGTTAGGATTGCTTCCTAGACTTCAGGAGTTTTCCCAGCATCTTAGTCCTCTGGAAATTCACAGATGGACTTGTTTGCGGAAAAAAGGGAACATTCCTAATCCCCCAACAACAACAAGAAGCGGGTTGAGATGCCAGCAGAGTTATTCTTGATATACTTACATAGCAACAGACTCAGATGAAACGCCTCCCCCCCACCTCAAAGAATGCACAGACAGGAGGAGAAGACTTGTGCTGCGTAAACAGAAGGTTGGCCTAATGTTAGCCATAAAGAAAACCTTTCCACCTCAGTGGGACTGGAGCTTAAGTCTTGTTTTGCAACTGCAAAGGGGGAAGGATAAATAAAAAGCACACCTTGCCAGGGAGACCGCGGAAACATTTTACAAGTGAAAAGCAAAACGAAACAACAACAAAAAAAGGGATGCTCTGTTCCATCATCCCCGTTTACTAAATTACCCTTCATTTAGAGCCAGCTACATTGATTACTTTTGAGCTGATGCACCTCATTGGTCTTTCAGCGATAAAGCTGTGGTGTTTTGTTTTTTTTTCCACCCAGTTAGCTTCAAAGCTGCTGCAATCGTTGCCGCGGAATTACATTTCTTAATGTGGCAGAGAGGGAGAAAAATCAACCTGATGGCTGTTTTTTTTTTCATCGCATCATTGGGATTGTTTGTTTGGATGGAAGGAAGTTTAACCCCTAGGCAAGCTGTTTGGAGAATTTCCCTGCTAACGACTCAAGGAGAGATGTGTAAACCTGCCTCTCCCTGTTGTATCTCCACAGCAACCAACCCTGTGAAGGTGGATCTGAATTTTAATCACCTGACCACCAGGATGCTGCAGCGGTCATAAGTGCGAAAAACTATCATTTTTTCAGTGCTGTTGCATCATTACCCAAACGGTTGTAAGTCATGGTAAATCTGTGACTGTTTTTTTTGGGAGGGGGGGTATCCAAAGTGTCCTACATCTTAAAAAAAACCCCTGATCTGCATTTTCCCTGGAATTTGCACCAAAGATGCCACCAGAAATAAACAGAACCTGCTTCTTCTCCGGAGCATTGCATCAAAGGAAAGCACTAAACTATATTGTTTAATAATTAATGGTGCTTCTGGCCATGTGCTTAATCATGGACGACGGAGGAAGAAATAGACCAGCAACGGGAGCGGTCTGCGGAATGCAAAATAAACCTTATTATATTACGTCTGTCAATGATTCCCAGCCTCCGTTGTGATTCCAACAGGGTTTTTAACTGAGGGGGCTCAGCCTAAAAGTCTGTGCAACTGTTGGTTTCCATTCCCTCCCTCGGTCTGATTGCCCTATTATTTTCCTTCACAAAGGAGACCGTTTAGCAGTATTCTTTGGCTTCCTCAGTGTAGGTCCTAATAAGGAATAGCTCTGGAATTTTTTTTCCCCTCTGGCAGAGGCATTTTCTTATCCCTCGAATCCTTCCTGCAGAAAATGGGAAGGGCTAAGCTCGGCCCTCATTACTTCCCAAGCAAGGGTGGGTGACTGCCTCATCTCTCCTCCCGTGTTGGCCTTTTTCACAAAGTCAACCGACCAGCTAATTCTGTCATCACGCCTGCCTGCCTTGATTCCTCAACAAGTAAAGGGTGCCAGGGCGAGGCTGGGGTCCTTCCCGTGGAGGAGCTGCTGCAGGCATGCTCTGCCTCTTGATTTCTACCAACTTCGACGTTCTGGTCAGAAGGTGGCAGCCAGTCGGTCCTCTTCACTGCACAGACTTCTCTAGACCTTCCCTCCCCTGGCGGATCCCATGGTTTTGGGGAAAACAGAAGAGCTAAGACTTAACTGAAAGTTCAGATAACACTATGGAGCCTCCGTGTCCAGGGGGAGTATACCACGAAACAGTATAGCCCAGGGGACCAATCGGAAGACCTTCACATCCTGTTCATATGTTTTCCTGGGGATTTCCAGCAAGCTCTTATTAAAACAGGATGCTAGATGGGGTGATGTCACCTGGCTAAGGACATTTTAACAATTTCCAGGAAATCTTTCTTTCTTTCTTTCTTTCTTTCTTTCTTTCTTTCTTTCTTTCTTTCTTTCTTTCTTTCTTTCTTTCTTTCTTTATTTCTTTCTCTCTCTTTCTTTCTCTCTCTCTCTCCCTCCCTCCCTCTTCCTTCCTCCCTCTCCCTCTCTTTCTCTCCTTCCTTCCTTCCTTCCTTCCTTCCTTCCTTCCTTCCTTCCTTCCTTTCCTTTCCTTTCCTTTCCTTTCCTTTCCTCCCTCCCTCCCTGCCTAAATTTAAGTCCAGGAGACGAGGGATGCTTCCTCTCCATCGAGGTTGGCTACATCTGGCGGCGTGCAGGCCGCGTTAATTGTGCTTTCGTTCAGAGCAGGAGATTCTAGTCTACAGTGGAGACGTGGCTTGCGTAGGCAAGGACTTGAATCCCTTACCTGGATCAATTTCCTGCCCCAATTGGAAGAGGTCTGTCCAGAAGTCGTTAAACATTGGCCAAATCTGGAGATGTTTGTGGGAAAGGGGGAATGAAAAACACATTCGTTAAACTTTGGAGCTTATGGTTTTCCGGCCTCTTTGAGTTATACAATGGCAGGATCAGCAATTAAGCCGTCACATTCCTGGTAACCTAGAGAGGATGCGAAGCGAGTTTTCTTTCCCCCAAAGGGCATCTGAAGCCAGTTGGCTTTCATTTTTGGAGCGCAGAGGACACTGCAAACCCACTGCTAGGCTTCATTGGCAGTTCTGCTCAGGTTTCCAGAAACTCCCATCCCCATTCCCCCCGTTTCTTTTTTTCCAGATGTGGATCACTCTGGATTGTGTTGCAGAGTCTAGCTGCGTGGGACGCTAATTCCCAGAGCCCTTAGCCTGCGAGACAGAGAGATTAAACAAATTCACCAAAGGACAGAATGGCTTTTGGTTCGGAGGTTGCGTGGGAAATACAGGTAGTGAGAGAGACCTTTCTTAAGTGAGTTTTGCCCCATTTTACGACCTTTCTAGCCACAGTGGTTAAGGGAATCGCAGCAGTTGTTAAGTTAGTAACACTGTTGTTAAGTGAATCCAGCTTCCCCATTGACTTGGCTTGTCGGAAGACGGCCAAAGGGGATGGCGTGACTCCAGGACACTGTGACCGGATGGCGTGACTCCAGGACACTGTGACCGTCATAAATATGAATCAGTCGCCAGGCTATATTTAGATACAGTCTATCATTCAACAGTGGAACAGAAAAATAATTGGGCGCCTCCGACTGATGGTCCTCCCCTTTTAGATACTGATGGGTGTGACTTTAGCTGCAAAACATTACGTCTTCCTACCCCCCCATGTGACCTTTCGGAACTGTTCTCTTTCCCCCCACTCCCCCCCAGCAAAACAGAACCGAAGGCAAACATCCTGCTAGGTCAGCAAGACTTTTGCATTTCCATCAGGCTGGCCTTACAAGTGGGTGGCCAAAGGCAAGCGGTGACGCAGTGCGTGTAGGCACTTAGAAAGTGGGAGAAACCCTGTCTGGGTGCCAGAACTGGGGCGCCAAGTCACTCTTAACCTGCTGGGATTCAGAAAAACTTATTTATACATCAGTTGCTGCAGTTTCTCAAAAGTGCCAATTCCCCGGGGGGGGGGGACCAAAAATAAATCTGGGACTGGCGTCACAGAGCTCAGAGAAAGAGTGCCCCCCCCCCAGTTCTCAGAACATTCTTGTACACATAGTTACAAAGTATGGACTAACTCCCTTTCAATCTTTGGTCTTCCGAGATTTCGGATTCACGCTGGAGTCCATCATCCAGTCCATCAGGGAACTTTTCCCCTCACCAGAATGTGTGCTTTGGGCTATTTTGTGTGTTGTATTTATGTGGTGCCTCTTTGCATGTGGCTTTTTCGTCGTTGATTGGGGCGTGGGCCGCATTTCCTTTTTTGGGCGAGCCATCGAGTCGATAACAACGGTTGCGTTCACACAAGGCGCTTAAACCTGGTTGCTGAATGAGCCGGTTTTCTGGATTCACACAATACAGTGAGCTCTGAACCAACCCAAAAAGTTGATCTGGGGGCTAACTTAGATACAAGATGCAAGGTAACCCTCAACTTTGTTTAGTGACTGTTTGAAGTTGGCACTGAAAAATGTGACTTGTAACTGTTTTTCACATCTTATGACGTCCTCGTGGTCACGTGATCAAAATTCAGACGCTTGGCAACTGACTCGTATTTATGACGGTCGCAGTGTCCCCAGGTCACGCGATCCCCTTTTGTGACCTTTTGACAAGCAGAGTCAATGGGGGACGCCGGGTTCACTTAAGAACTGCAACGATCTGTGGCAAGAAAAGGTCATAAAATGGGTGAAACTCACTTCATAACTGCCTCACTTAGCAACAGAAATTTGGGGGGCCGAGTTGTGGCCCTGAGTCAAGGACTACTTATAAAACCTGGTGCAAATGCAGAGGTTAGATTTGGGGGGGGGATTCGTTGAGACCGATTGGGCCAATGCCGCTAATCCGTAGCATGTTGCAGACCATCTTATATAGGACAAAATGCTTTAAAAACTAGGGCTGCAGTTCTGAAGCCATGCTGGGTTGGTTAGTTCAGCGTGGATACGTGCTAGATTGCATCAGAAATCTGTTCCGAATGGATTTCATGAACTTGGACCCGCCTTTTGCATTATTTCGTCTTCTGTTCCCATCTCTCTTGCCGTTTTCATCGTGTCTTTGAGCTCTTAAGCCTGTAGGGATATCCATTCTTTTCCTTTGATTTTACACCAAACACTTCTGGAGCTTTTCCAAGTTTAGTCTCTGATTCAATGAAACAAGAATTTCTTCCTGTCCCAGGTACTGCCCAGTTATGTCCAGGGTGACTATGCTTGTTTCTTCAGAAAGAAGGCTGAGTCACATACCTTGGAAAGAGGTGTGGCAGAACGTTTCGAGTATCAGCAGAAAAAGTGATGAGGTAATTGTATAAAACTCCTGTTGCTTAAACTGGGAATCAGCTTTCCTGCATATAACCAGGTTAATTTTAAGCATCCTTCTCATAGGATACTGAACAAACCGGCAGACGTCTTCTGGATATAAATATTTCTCTCTCTCTTCCCTTCCACTCTCCATCCTCAAGGAAAAATGTAATATAGAAGACATTGGAAGAAGGAACAGAGAAAGAATTTCAACACTTTTTCCCCTTGCCCAGATGTGACAGTTGGAGGAGACTGTAAAATTTAGGCACTGTATTCTCTTGCTGCTCCAGTGAAGGAAAATCCACCCCATTCCTAACAGACACACCTACTGCGAAATCGCTCTTTATCTCACAAAGTTCTTCCCCAGCTATAGTCAAGGTTCCCTGTCTTGTTGGCTTAGGACCTTCCCTGTCTGGGTAAACAAGAAAAGGAACATTTTGACCCCCTCCATCAACCAACCAAGACATCTGTCTTCCCCAGCCAACACTGATGATCACCCTGTGAGAAGTGAGGTGTAAGAAATGCACTATGGGTGCAACACCTGAAGCAAAGATGGATAGAGGAAAGGAAAGGAAAGGAAAGGGAGAAAGAAAGAGGAAGGAAGGAAGGAAGGAAGGAAGGAAGGAAGGAAGGAAGGAAGGAAGGAAGGAAGGAAGGAAGGAAGGGTTCATTTTGCACAAAAGCTATTTGGAAAATTGGAATAAGCCTTGACATATAGATTAAGAGGCAGATTTGGCCAAAGTTGATCTCTGCTGCATGAGGACTAACACCTTTTGGCTTTGCGTCAGAGAATTCTCCAGAAAGTACCACCTTCAGAGTGACCACCTATTCAACCTTGATTTTGGGAAGCCGACAGAGCAGGATATTGTCCAATTTTCCAGCACAGCCTCTGCCTTGCCTGCAGGAAGCTCTAAATTCAACGGCCAGCAGCTCCCTTATCAAAGAACGAAGAAGGCCAAGAGGCCTTGGAAGGAGATTTTAGCCAGAGCAGACAATACTGGCTTAGATGGATGCAGCAGTCTCATTAAGTCCCTGATGTGGCTCAGTGACAGGGCAACTGCTAGGCACACTGAAGTTTTTCCCAGCCGCTTCCAAACAAATAGGATCTCCTTTCACTCTGGGAAGGTTCCATCTCTGCTTGAAATCTCCAAGAGCCGTCAACAACAGTGGCCCCAAACTAGCTTGGACAGACGGACGAATGGATCCACATCTGCATTTAAGCAGTCGCAGTCAGTCTCCGTGCTGTTCAGTTTCCCCTGTCAGATGCTATTTAGCCGCCTTGGATTGTAGCCTCCCATCATCCCCAGACAGCCGGGCCTCGGGAAAAATGGCTCCGCCACCTCTCTGCATAATTCTGGGGAAGAGGTGCCCTTTCCTAGCCAAACTAAAGCTCTCCCTGGTCTTCTCCAAACCGAGTTCTCCCTTGCTTCCCTTAACCTCTCGCCAGCCCCCTTCAGACAAAATCCATCCAAAGGAGAAAGTATAGAATAAAGAGCCCTACCGCCTCTTCCCAGCCCTTCGTGGGGATTTCAACCTCGGGGCAGAGACCTCGCCCGGCTGAACTGCCCGTACATGGATTAAAAAAAAAAAATCTCCAGTTTTGCGGCTTGCATTTGTTCCTCCCCTGAATCCGGGCACCGCTAAGAAGGAGCAAAGTGATTTTCAAAGGGAGGGCAAAACCTCCACCTTCCTTTCCTAAAGCTTTAGTCAGGGCAACCCTCGACCCAGCTAGCTTCTTAAAGTCCCACTGCCTTCCCAGCCACCCAGACTGGCCAGCTCTGGCATCCGCAAGACCTCCTCTTTAAAATCCAAACTCCAAGCCCCATCTTCCCAGGATTGTAGCCTCCCATCATCCCCCCAGGCAGCTGGACCTTCAGAAAAGTTACTCCGTGACCTGTCTGCCTAATTGTGGGGAGAGGTGCTCTTTCCCAGCCGTACTCAAATTGCAGTCCTCCCTCTCGGCAAGATCCGAAATCCAAAACCCAATCTCCAACATCCGAATCCGAAACCCTGTATCCTCTGGAGCTGCTCACCTCTTGAAGGACTTTGGGCCAGGACGCCACCGAGCAGGCAGAGAATCCGAAGCAATGCAACTGGGGGACTCATAGCAAGTCGGTCTCCGGATCGGATGGGCAGCGGCTACCTGAAACCCAACGCCTTGACATTGGCGAGGAGGCCAAGCCT